TAAACTTGGCAATCTGAGAAGTATGGGGATGTTGGGCTCTCAACCTCTTTTAAATGAGTCTTAAAGGAATTAATACTTTTTTCGAATGACTTGGAAGAGGCTGCCAAAATTTTGCGATGCGTAAGTGTATAAGCAAGAGGGGTTTCAAGGTCTCCGCTAGAAGAGATATTAGCGGGATTTACAGGGATAAACTCGTAATCACAAGAAAAGGTGATGAAGTCTATGGCACGTTGATTCTATATGGCCACACTGTGAGCTGAAGGATTCTCCCCTTGTCTCTCAATTAACCAGAATTTTGTTGCATGACTACAACGAAGCCAATAACTTTTTTTCATTAAGTGACAACATCATCTTTTGTTTAATACATAATTTTCACTTTTCAATGTTCACAAAACTAACATTACTTACCATACTTGAAATTACTTACGATACTGACCTATGGATTTCTTTTCTTTGACGAAAACGTTGAATTGTATGTTTTGATGCATATTCGGAACTTAGCAGACAATCTAAGATGATCTACATAGAAAATCAAGTGGGAAGTTGTCTTGATGTTGGCTTTTGTTCCTTTAAAAGGGCAGAGAGTAATGCTTTTAATAACGAAGAAAGCTGAGAAATACTTCATTCAAAAATTCTAACAAATAATAAATTTGGCGAGCAAAAAAAAGTGCATTCGCATTTTTCTTAAAAATTCTTGTGACGATAAATTAAGCTTTCCAAAGTCCTGATTTTTCATATAAAGTAAAACCACATTATCAGGTCTCAATTTGATAGCAGGGACGTTTTTAGGGGGGAGAGGGTCCGGAGGTGAGGTCCTGCCCGTGACCCCCACCCCCTTTGCAAACCTTTTATAAGTACGGCATGGAGGTCGACATGATAATCTGGTGAGTACCCTCTATTTGAAACTGTGTGACCCTCCTTCCCCCCCCTCCTTTGAAATGTCCTCGCAACGCCCCTGGATCGAGACCTCTGGGAAAGGCTTTTCAGTATTACATTGCATTCAGTTCTTGTTTCTTTTGTCTCCAGTTGTATATCACTTCATGCAACTCCCACACGATTTGCTCCAAACATCTTCTTTTCCAGTTCTTCAGCCTGAGCAAGAGTTTTTCTCATTACCATCTGAAAGAAAGCTACGCGAAAGTGTCTGATTCTTG